CCCCAAAACCCCAAAACCCCAAAACCCCAAAACCCCATAAATGAAGACAAATTCAAAATATAATTAACGATATAAATGAATAAAGGCATTGGTTCTTACTCTTCCAGCAGTTTACTCTTCAATAAGCCAAAACAAAGAAAGGTCACTTCTTCAAAGAGAAAGAAGTCCAGAGAAGGGTCTAAAGAAAAGAAGAAGCAGAAATAAATACAATAGTCCTGGCAAGATAATGCTCGGCAATTACTTACCTAGTAATTCAACTCAGAATTTTGTATTTAAGAATACGGCTTGAGAACCTACCAATATGAGATATGCTGCTGTCAAACCTACTCATGGTGAGTCCGCTTTCAAGAGCTTAATGACTTCTCCTCCAGGAAGGCCAGGAAGTAGATCGAAAAAGAAGCCTAAAACAGGCTTCTCTTCCTCATACAATTCTTCAAGCAATAAAAGCACTGCCTTGACAGGATCGGTTTCAAAGAAGTTCTTGCCAAGTTATTATGGAAGAAAAGGAGATTTGTCAAGAGGAAACTCTTATACAAAAAGGAAAAATAGCGGATCAAAGTTGTCAAGCAGGACTCAAAGATCAAACTCCAGGACTCTTAAGTCTACGAAATCTTCATTAGGTTATTCTTCAAAGAGTAAGTACAGTGGAGGAAAATCAATCAGCAAGTATGCATCGACTGATGCTTTTAAGGATGCTTCAAAGACATTTAAACCATTCAAGGTTACTTCTAAACAGAGCAAGAATAGTTCAGTTGATTATCTTCAGAAATCAGGGAGATTCAATTCCACTCTCAAGTATTCCAGCTCTGATAGTGGATTTCCGAGTAATTTAAAAATTAAGAAAGAAAAAACAAAAACTAAGAAAAAGAAAGCTAAGCATGACAAGGAAGAATATGCGAAAAAGTTTGGGATAAGCACAAGTAAAGTCCTTTTTAATAAAATTTATAGCTACGAAGGATGCTGAGAGTGCTCTTAATTCAATAAATATCATAAATGCAAACCATTTACATCTTTCAAGTTATCCTCATAAATCCAACTTAAATAGTTCAGGAGGTGATAATGAGAAGAAGGAGAATATTCAAGGACTCATTAACAAACCAGAGTCAGGCAAGAAGAAGAAAAGAACCCCAATAAGTGGAGGTATTAGAGATGAGAGAATGAAATTGAAGCAGGAAATTAAAAAGACCAAGCCTAAGAAAAGCACTACTAAGAATTATGGTATCTTAATTAAATTTCTTAACATAATCTCTTTAGTCAACTCAAAGAAAATTACACCTAACACTTCGAAGAGAGAGCATAGTGAGGTCAGGAAGACTGAACCTGTAGTTGAAAAAGAAACTAAAGGTGAGAAGAGAAGTCATTCTCAACCTCCTGTAGAAGATCCTCCTATAGATGATCCCCAGGCCAACGAGCCTGCACTGCTAGATTCAAATCTTCCAGATTATGTTGCTAATTATGCTTTCGCTACAAGAACAGGGATGATACCAGAGAAGCCTGATAAGCAGAACCAGGATATCTATTTTATTAACAAAGACTTTGCTAACATTAAAAATAACTGGTTCTTTGGAGTATGTGATGGACATGGAGTGAATGGCCACTTTGCTTCAGATCATGTGAAACAATACCTACCTCAGAACATTGAACTGCTAGATTACATGTTAATGATGCAGAAGCATAAGGAAAGTCAGAAAACTCCTGAAGAGAGGAAAGATTCTACATCTGGCTTCTTTGAAGATGATGAGGAGAATCTAGCAACATATCTTCTTTCAAAAGACCATAAGAAGAAATATACTGTAATCAGTGAGGGATTTATCAAAACAGCTTGAGATATCCAACAGAGAGAATTCAATGTAGACTACTCAGGAACGACTGTTGTCACTGTGATGCTCTCAGGCAAGCAGCTTACCTGAGCAAACCTTGGAGATAGCAGAGCTGTTTTAGGAAGTATTAGAACCAAAGAGGAAGCAGAGACAATTCAGAGCAATACAACAGAAGTTAAGATGGAGTCGGTAGCAGGACCTGATAAAACTGGCAAGAAGATGTGGGTATCCACTAGTCTTTCCCTCGACCACAAGCCTGACAGAGCAGATGAGTTCAAGAGAATTATGGAATCTCAAGGGAGAGTCGATCCTTTTAGAGAAGAAAATGGTGAGCCTGTAGGTCCAGCCAGAGTCTGGTTGAGAGATGCAAACGTTCCTGGACTTGCTATGAGCAGATCCATAGGAGATTTAGTAGCCAGCTCAGTTGGAGTTATCCCAGAGCCAGAATTTTTTGAGCTAGTCTTGAGTGAACCTGATAAATTCATTGTAATTGCCTCGGATGGAGTTTGGGAATTTATTGAAAATGATGAATGTGTTAGGCTAGTAGCTCCTTATTGGGAAAATAACGATCCACAAGGAGCATGCAAGAAATTGACAGACTTAAGTGTCGAACACTGGAAAAGAGAGGATGAGGTTATAGACGACATTACTGTCATGGTAATATTCCTCAAGGTTCCAAAATAATTGCTTAATTTCTTGTGTAAATAAGTAATTAAAATTTTTGATAAGAGGTCATAGATTAAATTCAATTTGAAATATAAATCAGGGGTTTTGGGGTTTTGGGGTTTTGGGGTTTTGGGGG